ACAATAGGATTTTGAGCAAAGTTTTTACCATTAAATTATGTAAAAGGTGTCAGACGCAAAACATTTCAGAAACCGTATGTATCAAATATGATACATTTGGCATTATAGGGTTAAGCTCAACATCCACACTTTCTTATCACATTCCACCTAAACCTGCATGAATTAGGACCTGGCCTGTTCACGTCAGAGCTAACTGGCCAATAACACTCGGTTACTTCCAGCCGTAATGACCAATAAAAGTCATATTTGTACTCTTGATCTGCTCTGGTTTATTCTCAGGCTTCCAACTAAAGAATCGGGCTAACAAACACAATAAAAATGTCGTCTCCATGTGGTCAATTAGTGAAGTAGGGATGTCCTGATCCAGCTTTTTTAAACTTCCGATCTGATCCCGGCCTATCAGAGCATGAATTAAAGTTTAAAGTTATTTATCTAATTACTTAGTTGTCAGACTCATGTTGAACAGGGATTTACTCTGATAACAACTTAATGGTTAGGACACAGACCTGTGGGTTACAGATGCTAATGCTAATGCTAATGCTAATGTGGGATCGGACTTAAAAAAAACTGGAACCTCCAGCCTTCATAATTGTGAGAAATAAATATTTTTTGGTTAAACTTGTTTGGACTTATTGTACAAACCTATTTAACATCCACTATTTTAACATAATATTATGTATAGAGTTTAATTCAGTGTTTGCAGGATTTATTTAACTATTTCTAAATTAATTTCTATATTGCCATGAAGCAATTAGGATTTTCTTGCCTGGGATCTTCCTATTGGTGACCTAATCAAAATGGCCGACTTGGATGTGGACGGAGTTGGATATCAATTCTTGGCTTCCTGCAGTCTTTCATTTCCTGTTTTATTTTGATAGTAACCATCTTCTTGTTTTAACGTCTTTTGCACTTCCCTGTGTGTCATAAGTCTGCTTTATGTTTGTACATTTATAACCTTCTACCTCCTGTTCCAGAGATTATTATTTGATACTTTATTAGCTTTGTCTTGCTTGTTTTAAAAAATGATTATTATTTTTTACTTTTGGCCTTTCCACTCCCAGTTTGCCTTTATTTAAATGAAAGTTTTTGCATATAGATCTCTAACCGAGTCCAATTTCAGTAAAAAAATACAGCAATTGAATTGATTTCAAACGTCGTTCCCCAGGTTTTTTTTGGACTGGACCACATACCGATTACAGACATCCTCTTCCGTACGTTGTTGAAATCCAGGATGGCCAGGAGTTCGTAGGTCTGCTGGCGTCCCATCTCCACGATGGAGATGCTGTCGGGCGTTCTCGAGCGGAAAACGAACCCAAAGTTTCTGGCTGCTGTCACCAGGGCTCCTTCATCCGGGGACTGGGCCTGGTACAAAAGCTCCCCTGGAGGAGGGAAAAAGACATGTAGGCTCCTTTTTGTTTATTCTGGAAACAGGAAGCCAGTTTGTTGGATTTAGTACCCTTTAGGGTAGGTCAAAAGACTTTAAAAATATTTTTAAAAGAGGAAAATTATTTTAAAAAAGGCTAAAAATATGAAGGAAGCCATTTTCTTGGATTTAGAAGATCAAAAGACTTTTAAAAATATTTTAAAAACTGAAAAATGATTTTAAAAAGGGCTAAAAATGTGAAAGAAGCCAGTTTTTCCGCTTTAGTACCTTTTCGGTAGATCAAAAGACTTTTAAAAATATTTTAAAAACAGAAAAATTATTAAAAAACAAGGCTAAAAATATGAAGGAAGCCAGTTTCTCCGATTTAGTACCTTTTCGGTAGGTCAAAAGACTTTTAAAAGTATTCTTAAAACAGAAAATTATTTTAAAAAGGCTAAAAATGTGACATTAAGAAAAGATGGGTCTTTCCTCTGTCCTATTTAAGCCCATAAACTTGGCTTAAATAACTCTGTTTATTCTGGAAACAGGAAGCCAGTTTCTTCGTTATTGTACCTTTTCGGGCAGATAAAAAGACCTTTAAAAATATTTTTAAAACAGAAAAATGATTTTAAAAAAGGATAAAAATATGGAGGAAGACAGTTTCTCCGATTTAGTACCTTTTCGGTAGGTCAAAAGACTTTTAAAAATATTTTTAAAACAGAAAAATTATTTGAAAAAAGGCTAAAAATATGAAGGAAGCCAGTTTCTCCGATTTAGTACATTTTCGGTGGATCAAAAGACTTTATGGGGACTGGGCCTGGTACAAAAGCTCCCCTGGAGGAGGAAAAAAGACATGTACAATGGGGGAAATAAGTATTTGACCCCTTGCTGATTTTGCAGGTTTGCCCACTTACAAAGAATGCTTGTTTTTCCTCATCAGATGGTTATCAATTTTTATAAATTCATATGATGTGATTTTCTGGAATTTTCTTTGGGATTCTGTCTTACACTGTTAGAATGTACATATGATTAAAGTTATAGATCGTTGCATTCTTTGTAAGTGGGCAAACCTGCAAAATCAGCAAGGGCTCAAATACTTATTTCCCCCACTGTAGGCTCCTTTTTTTTGGCTTTTTATTGTGGAAACAGGTAACCAGTTTCTTGGATTTAGTACCTTTTCGGGTAGATCAAATACTTTTAAAAATATTTTTAAAACAGAAAAATGAAAAAAAACTGAAATTATTTGATCAACTTAGCGTGCAATAAGTCAAAAATGTATGTTGGTGTAGTCTTCTACTGGCTGTTATCAGGTATATCTGAATGTGTACAACAGGGGTTTGAGCAAAGCTTTTACCACTGAATGATGCAGAAAGTCTCACATCCAAAAGACTTCAGAAACCTTACTATGTTTTAAATACGACACATTTGGCGTTACAGGTGTTCACCTTCCTTCTTCTCCTCGGCCATGGCGGTGTGGCAGAGCGCCAGCAGCCTGAAGAAGGCGTGCACCTCGGGGTTTTCCATCTTTACGGCCTCCACCAGTGAGTGGTCGAAGAACAGGAACCGGGGGTCCGCCAGAGGGTTAAAGGAGAAATCCACCGGGTCCCTGTGCTGTCGGGGGGGGGGGGTTACCAAAAAATAGATATTTACCAGGGATAACGTGTGCAGTGCTCAGATATCCAACATTTTTAATTTTTTTATTCTTTTTTAAACCTTTGAAGTGTAATTTTAGTAATAAAATCTTGTTTTTTTCTTCTTTTGTTACTTTTTTGGAGCAAATAAACTGTCTGAAAAATAGATTTTTAACGTGGAATAAAGTGCGCAGTGTTGATATATAAACCACCTGGGGAAATGTTTTCTTTTTTAATCTTTTGGATTGTAATTTTAGTGGGAGATGACACTGTCAGATGGCACAGATAATAAAATCTTTTTGTTTTTCTTGTTTTGTTACTTTTTTAGAGCAAATAAACAGTCTGAAAAATAGATTTTTAACCAGGACTAAAGTGAATAAAGTGTGCAGTGTTGAGATATCAATCACCTGGGAAAATGTTTTTCTCTTTTAACATGACAGAAAACATGCCATAAAAACGGCTAGATTTAGCTGTTAGAGATGATAAAATATTTGTTTTTTTTGTTATTTTTAGAGCAAAAAACTGTCTGAAACAGCAAATAAACAGTCTGAAAAAGTGCTGAGATATCCAACCACCTGGGAAAACTTTTTCTTTTTTAATATTTTGAACTGTAATTTTAGTGGGAGATGACACTGTCAGATGGGACAGATAGTAAATTGTTATTTTTTTTGAGCAAATAAACAGTCTAAGAAATAGGTTTTTAACAGGATGAAAGTGTGCAGTGCTCAGATATCCAATTACCTGGGAAAATGTTTTCTTTTTTAATATTTTAAACTGTTATACTTTGAATTAAAGACGCTAACATGACAGATAAACGTCTAACTTTAGTTGCTGATTTTTTTTTTTTGTGGGAGTTCACACTGTCAGATAGTAAGATATCTTAGTTTTTTTTCTTGTTTTGTTCTTTTTTAAGAGCAAATAAACAGACTGAAAAATAGATGTTTAACCAGGATGAAAGTGGGCAGTGCTCAGATATACAAACACCTGGGGAAATGTTTTCTTTTTTAATATTTTGAACTGTAATTTTAGTGGGAGTTTACACTGTCAGATGGCAAAGATGATAAAATCTCTTTTTTTTTTCTTGTTTTTTAGAGCAAATAAAAAGTATAATATTTTCTTTTTTAATATTTTGAACTGTAAGACTTTGATATAAAGCCTCTAACATGACCGATAAACTCTAACTTTAGTTACTTTAGCTATTTTTTTTGTGGGAGTTTAGAGGGAGTATACACTGTCAGATGGCACAGATAGTAAAATCTCTTCGTTTTTTTTCTTGTTTTGTTATTTTTTTTAAAAATAGTTATTTACCAGGTTGAAAGTGTGCAATGCTCATATGTCAACCACCTGGGAAAATGTTTTCTTTTTTAATATTTTGAACTGTAATACATAAAGACATAAAGCCTCTAACATGACCAATAAACGTCTAATTTTAGTTGATTATTTTTATTTTTTTTGGTGGGAGTTTACACTGTCAGATGGCACAGATAATAAAATTTTAGTTTTTTTTTAGAGCAAATAAACTGTCTGAAAAATAGATTTTGTACCAGGAATAAAGTGTAAAGTGCTCAGATATACAAACACCTGGGGAAATGTTTTCTTTTTTAATCTTTTGGATTTTTAATTTTAGTGGGAGTTTACACTGTCAGTTGGCACCGATGATAAAATCTCTTTGCTTTTTGTTCTTATTTTAGAGCAAGCTAAAATGTTATAATGAATGTAATGTAATGAGTTTTTTACAGTGTTCAGAGACATTTTTGCCCCTTTAGGTCGACCTGTCATAAGCCTGAAAAGGCTATCGTACAATTATGCAAAAAGGAAGCATGACCTTACTGCTTAATTAAAAAAAAATTAATCATCAAGTTATTTTTTACAAAATGTAAATGCTTGTTCAGCACAGCTAAATGGAAATAGTTCTTTTACAAAATACATTTACCATAATATCACTTCAAAGTTCTCAATTTCTGAGAATCACCTTGTTTAGAATATAAGAGAAATAATATCCTAAATAATGTAAAATTGAATATTAGTAGCTGTGCAAGAAGCAGAGGAACATTTGAAGCTAAAGTTAAACAATAATTTGGCAGATTTCAACTATTTGGATGCTACAAATTAATTGCTTTTGATTGATGTGATCTCTGAATTTAAATTTTTTTCAAGTAAGTGGACAATATGTTAGTTGGTGTGTAAGAAAAAATAAATGTAAAATAAATATAAAATAAATATAAAATAAATATAAAATAAACAAATAAATAAATAAATACACACATACATAAATAAATAAATAAATAAATAAATAAATAAATAAATAAATACAAAATTAAAATTAAAATTAAAATTAAAGTTAAAATTAAAATTAAAATTAAAATTAAAATTAAAATTAAAATTAAAATCAAAATTCAAATTAAAATTAAAACATCACACCATCTTTCTTCATAACTCACCTCTGAGATTTCCAGCCGCTGGCCGGTGTAATCATACACATCTCCTGCAGGGGCAGAAATTCACATTAGGAACATTTAATAAAAGAAAAAACATTTTAAAGGCTTATCAAATAGTTTGGTGGCAAACAGGCTGATTAAAGAGGCCACTGGGTCATCTGGACCTCGAACATGTTTCAGCTCTCCACTTTTAAACTAAATGTTAGGAGTCAGCATATGTTTCCTCTCCACTAAAAACTTTAACCAAACAAAACTGTCAGAGATGAGAAAAATAGGCACAAACATGCTGTAAATCCAGGAATCTAAAAAAAAAAACCGACTATCTTCTCTAAACATGGCATTCCAGTCCACTTCAAACCCGAAAACAGAGACAGATTGGTCCCCCCAAAGACAAAAATCCTCCAAACAAAAAGTGGTATTGAAGACTATAAGAGTAGTGAATATACGGGAGTATAATAACAAAATTATAAGAGTAATAATATAAGAGTATTGAATATATAAGAGTGTTATAAGAGTATTATAAGAGTAATATAAGAGTATTGAATATATAATAGTATTATAAGAGTAATATAAGAG